TTTTTTTAATTTTTTTTCCATGAAACAACATTGTTTTATTAAAAAAATAAATAAAAATTCTTGCAAACCTAAATCTAATTGTTCTCTTCTCTCCTAGTGACCTAAATATTTTCAATCTTCACCTCGCTGCCGTGAATCTTCTAGGAAAGGTAAGAATTTTACCCCTTCAAATGAAATCCTTACGAGTTGTCGATCGATGGAAAACAAAATCTCATTCTTACTTCGTTTAAATTTTTCTTTGTCAGAGACCTTCTCAAAAGAAGCAAAACCGGGTCAGTGTAGTGACCCCATTAGAATATGAGTTTTGTACTTTGGTATCTTGATACTTTAATTAGGTTGTATAATATTGACTTGTGGTTATAATTGGTGAATTATGTTATGTATATTTTGAATCTTTGATGATTGGTGATTTGTTTTTTAATATTTTCATATAGGATATATCTATTTATATTTTTTTAATATATAAAACCGGGTCAGCATAGTGACCCCCTGACCCCCGGTTGAACCCGTGATCTCGTAACCCCTGACCTCAGCCGGGTCGATGGCCGGGCTGAGTTTTTAAACACTGGTTATACTAAAAAGAAAAATACAATTTTACTTAAAACAAATAATATCTACTATCAAAAATAACATATATCAATTAAGGTAGATAAAAAATATTTTAATGCATATAATAAATATTACTTAAAACAAATAATATATATTAACACCCAACACTTCAACATCTGTTCTATTCTCTTCAAAATAAATTATATATGTTAAAGAAGTATAAAATTAGGCTTTAATGTTTCTACAGGAAATATAGACAAGTTATTTACATTTGTTCTCAAAACGACGTCGTTTTGAGTTGAAAACTTAAAAAATTATAATGAAAAAGACTATTATAACCCCGAAATAAATTATAATTACAAAAATATCTTGATTTTCGCCTCAAAACAATAACATTTTGAGCTCAATGTAGATAAGCTATCTACATTGACGGTAGAAAAAACGAACCCATAAAATTATTAATATAATCTCACCTAACAGTTTAAATTTTTGTGTTAAATTGATTCTTTACATAGTATCTGAGCCTTATTGTAATAAATTTGATCCTCACTGTTTCCTATTTAGTTAATAATTAATTAAATATTGTGGAGTTTCTTGGCATAATTAGGTGAGTTTATGCATTATCTACTATTTAAATCGCTCTCGTGTGAGGGAATGTGCTAGAGAAGTATAAAATTAGTAATATAATCTTACCTAACAGCTTAAATTTTTGAGTTGAATTTTACAATATATATATATATATATATATATATATATATATATATATATATATTTATATATTAGAATTTCAATTTAGATTTAATAGATAATAGTGTAGGGGGGATGGTTTTATGAAGTTTTGGAAGTCTTCTTGTTTGAAAGAGGAAATTAAAGGGGCAGTAGTTTCTTGTACAAAATGGATAAATAAAATTTATTAAATGAGGGAAAAAATTTCTTCATAATGACGTAAGTGCAAACTTAATCTAAAGAAGGTTGATTATCAATCTCATACATTGATTTATTTATCATCAACAATAATAATAAAAAAATAGATATTTGATTGCTTACAATTGATGTATCAATGAATCAGTTACATTTTTCAAAGTGGTGATGTGAGACAGAGAAACTTAAAAAGTTGTCTCTACCAACTGGACTGTTACCTAGTAGCATCTTGAGTTCTGTCTAGTTCGTAACTTTGACTTTGGTGATCCTCTGCAACAACAATGGGTGACGAGGTTGTTTTGTTGGATACATGGGCCAGCATGTTTGGGATGAGGGCTAGGATTTCATTGGCTGAAAAGGGTGTTAGGTATGAGTACAAGGAAGAGAATTTTTTCATTGGCAAGAGTACTTTGCTTTTGCAGATGAACCCAATTCACAAGAAAGTACCAGTTCTCATTCATAATGGAAAACCCATATGTGAATCTGCTATTATTGTTCAGTACATAGATGAGGTTTGGAATCACAAATTTTCACTCATGCCCTCTGACCCTTACCAGAAAGCTCAAGCAAGATTCTGGGTTGATTACATTGACAAAAATGTAGTTCCTTTGCTTTGTTCTGATTTGAATTTCCATTCTTTTGTCACCTCAATTTTTGTGGGGTCATTTAAAAATTAAGTTCTGCATCAGAAGATTTGAAAGAGTAAATGGGAATATATCAATTGATTTTTGGTTATTTTTATAATTTAATAGGAGGAGTAAGATTTTTTATTTTTTATTTTTGTATGTTAATCTTTGAATTTAATACCAGTAATAGTTTGTGATCTTCAATGCAGGTGTATGATACTTGGAGGAAAATGTGGCTTTCTAAAGGAGAGGAGCATGAGGCAGGGAAGAATGAGTTGATCTCAATCTTTAAACAACTTGAGGAGACACTTGGGGATAAAGCTTTTTATGGGGGTGACACTTTTGGGTTTGTTGATGTTGGTCTCATCCCTTTCTATAGCTGGTTTTATACTTTTGAGACGTTTGGTAACTTCAAAATGGAAGCAGAGTGTCCTAGTTTGATGGCTTGGGTCAAGAGATGCATGCAGAGAGAGGCTGTGTCCAAAACTCTTCCTGATGAGAAGAAGGTGTATGATTTGGTTTTGGCCGTTCAGAAAGCACTTGGACTGGAATAAAGGGACTTTATGAACCAAACAATAAAAGATTTGCAAGTTAAACATGGTATTGTAAGGTCATGTGTAATTTTATGTTATTTGTTAGGCTTGGTTTACTTAGTTATGGTTTGGTAGATACTTGAGTGTGTCTAATAAGATTTGGAGTTGAGTAGGGATGAATGTTGTTATGTTTGGTTGAAGTTGAGACTTCATGATTAATAAAAAGCTCATGTTGGATGTTTAATGTTGTTCAAATATAAAGTATGTGCAAAATAAAGCATGCTTATGGAATTTATGGGCTGTTTAATTTGATGGGTATTTTGCTTTAAGCAGAAAGACATTTGCAGTCAAAATTGCTAGAGGCATCGTAGAATAAAGTAACATTACCATTAGCCAACAATGCCACAATGCAGAAATCTTCAATTGCTTAACCCAGCAATTGACAAAACCAAGTCAAAAACCATAACCATTACAATCATAGGTTGTATGCATGGTATGTGTACTACTGTATTAGTTGTACTATTGTTACTAGTTGGCTTTATGCTCTTTGGCATTGCAATAACGCCATCTGCATAAGAGTTATTTATAGCCCATCTTTATACTATTTTCTGCTCCTTCCCATTAATGTATGTAACTTTGTTAATTTTTATTTATAGCAGTAATTTAACTTGTGCTGTCTATCTCAACCTTCACATAATTGATGGATTCAACATGGTCTTGTGTGAAGATGCTTTCTTAGAAGAAATAGTTTCTCTATTATTGATGCTTGGATATAATAGAGAATATTCTTAGATGCTTGCAGACTTTGACCGTTTGAGCCCACGATGTGGCTGCGTGTTTGGTTCATCTGAAAATGTCTTGCTATATATCCTTTGTTCATTAAAAAATGGGACTAAGACTGATCAGTCCATTCAGTAAAATCTTAAACCATGGTATAGTTTCATCGGTCGGATTCAAACATAATCTTATCCATAGAGAGATGGCTGTTCAACTTGAACTCAGATCTTCATTAAGGAAAATACAAATAAATATTCAGATTCAAAGTCTAACTGTCAAGTTAATACAAGCTCTTGGTTAATATTATTTATAAGGGTTTAATATTTCTCCTCAAATAATCTTATCTCTTACTATGAGAATGGGGTGGTACAGCAAATTAGCACTAGTTATGAGAGTCATAAGTGGATTTGGGTGATATGAAATGGAAATATTTAGTTGGGAGTGAATTCTCTCATTCTCTCATGTAAAAATTTTTACATTATTATAAAATTTGTGTCTATTTCTCTCTTCATTAATGATATTCGGATCCCACATATCTAACGCATGTGAAGAAAGAAATATACATAATTTTTATATATTTTAACATGAAAAAGGATCTGCTCCCCGTTTAATTTGAGCTAGTGCTAACAATTAGCATTGAACACTAAGGTGGGTAAACAATTAGAGTAAACCACATGGTTACAAAAGCTTATTGTGGGGAAATTTTTTCAATACTACTGTCTCATCGAATTTTCAATACATTATTCCAATCAAAATTAAGAATCAATGCTGCTACAGTGATAAGACAGAGATAAAAACATTGTTTCAACACGTGTTTGATTGCGAATGAAGGGAGTACATGCTAGGGTAGTATTGAAATTGTTCTCTGTTGTGACCTTATTTATATTGTTTTGTCGTCCAATATATATATATATATATATATATATATATATATATGAGACAGGATCATCTTACATCAGTGTAAGAATAATAAGTCTTACACCAAATTTTAACTATTAACTTTCTGTATCTAACGATTAAGATTTATTAGGTTTTATTAATTAATTAATTTTTAATTTTCAACAAATCTCAACCGTTAGATGCACTGAAATTAATGGTTAAGATTTGGTGTAAGATTTTTTATTTTTACACCGGTATAAGTTATCCTATCCCTATATATATATCCTATCCCTATATATATATCAAGAGATGTAAGCTTTGATAGATATGATTAATCTAATTTCGGGTTTGAGTCAATCCACCGTCCCTAAGAGTTACAATTTTCAGGAATCAAATCCATTGTAGGTCAAATTTTGAGGTCTAACTGGAATTCTACTGTACGATCATCGGTCCATTATATTTTTAGTTATGCCTAAAATATAAATTATATAACTTTGACTTGCAAACCAATATCGTGATTTATAAGACATCTAAATACAATTAGATTGAAATAAAAGAGCAGATTGCACTGGGATTCAAATATCCATTAAGAGAAATACAGGTAGCAAAAAGCCACATCTAAGTGCCATTTTGTTATGCCATTATTCTGAAAACACAGCACATAAATAATTAGAGGCAATCTTTTTTACTATGGGGTACCGTGCCTCTAATTTACTCACTGTCCAAGTCCTTTCTCTGCTAAAAAACTTTTGACCCTGTGCTCCTCAGGAAAAGACTTGGACACACTCTCTCTTTGGGTGCACCTCTTGGCCCAAGCAATGATATTAGGGTACTCAGCTTCACTGATTAAAATGGCAGAGAAATTATAAGTATACAACCAACAGAACAAAGGAACAAGTGCCACATCCACAAGTCCAAATTTGTCTCCACCAAAATAAAGCTTGTCTCCCAGCTTTTCTTCCAACAATTTAAGACATTCTAACAATTCTTTCATGGCAGCTTCTTTCTCTTCTCCTTTAGTTTTCCATAACTTCAAGGCAACCTCATATACCTATTTCACATAGTGAAAGACATTAACATTTTTTGACAATTTCTCAAACTAAATGCTATTTGATAAAGATAGAAGAGCAAAAATAATCGCAACCAAAACATTAAAAGTTTCTCATGTTGTAGCTAGGAGATAAAATTATCTCTTACATACGTATATTAGTGTGTCGGATAGAATTTTTCTTTTTTTCTCCTCAGGTAACCTACACACTTTTATATATATGTATGAGATACAACATGAGAAAGTTTAAACCCTTGCCAAAGAAGTACCTTGTTGTCAATGTAGTTAGCCCAGAATCTAGCTTGGGCTCTCTGGTGAGGATCAGAAGGCAACAATGGAGATTGGTCTTTCCAAACCTCATCAATATACTCAACAGCAAGAAGTGACTCACAAATGGGTTTTCCATTGTGGATGAGAACTGGTATTTTCTTATGAATTGGGTTCATTTGTAGGAGTAAAGGGCTCTTGTTGCTCATGTCCTCTTCTTTGTACTCATACTTGATGCCCTTTTCCTCTAGTGCAATCTGGACCCTCATACCATAAGGGCTTAGCCAGAAATTCAACAGAATCACTTCATCTGCCATTTCTTAAGAAAGAAGACTCCAATGAAAGAAAACTAAAGTCGGATGAAGAAGTGAGTTACATAGGAGTTTGGCTAGTCAATTTGTAGAGAATGTGGAGTAGTATGAAAACAAAAATTGCAATAAACTATTCCAGCAAAAGAAAAAAATGGGACCCTGCCACGGATGTTTCTATGTGTCATTTCTTCATAAGTACATTATTCGGACGGCTAATGAGACAACATGGAACAACAAAACCGAAGCAACAAGGGCACAAAAATACATAACTACAAACAATAGCAAAAATATTTGGTGATAGAGAGCTGGGGTCTACTCTTCTCAAAATAAATTATATAAATAACTTATATGTATGTATAATGTAATTTAGCACTAATGAAGCGAAAATAATATTTTATAATATACCTGTATTTTGGAAATCATGCAATAATAGACGAAAGGGGTTGTTCTTGATTATGAGTGTAAAGAACCGGATACTTCACCCCAAAAACTAGCTCAAAGAGTGAGAGTATTTAAGGTCTTAATTGTTCATACAACTAATATGAGACTATATATCTCAAGAATGAGGTTTTTGAAAACAGGGGAAAAATAGTTTCTTAAGAAAATCTGAGGGGGAGTGAGTTAAGTGGGTTGGAAAGTGGGGACTAATGGAAGGAGAAGGACGGTTATATTAAATGAGAATAAAAAAAATAATACAGGTTATAATATACTACCACTACACATCAATCAACACAATCAAATACAATTTTACTTTAAACAAATAATATCTACAACCAAAAATAAGTAAATAACATATATCAATTAAGGCAGATAAAAAAATATTTTAAAGCATATAATAAATATTATTTAAAACAAATAATATATATTAACACCCAACACTTCAATATCATTTCTATTCTTTTCAAAATAAATTATTTATATATATGACAAAATTATTTCTGCATCTACCGTAGAATATTTTATCTGCCTCAAACACATATTTATTAGTATATGATATTGGATCCTGGTAATTTCTTTTAAAAAAAAAAAATAACCAATGGATCTCTTTTTTTCTTTGCGGTAAAAAGCAAATATTGTCACTGCGGCAAAAAAAAATCCATATATATATATATATATATATATATATATATATATATATATAAGGCTTTCGTTTCCCTATGTAACATCCTCGTCTCGAGCCGGTTCAATTAACATACACATGATATAAACAGAAACAGCGGAAGGCTTAACTTACGAAATTACGAGCTAACTTTTTTCTTTTTCTTTTAATTCTCATTCGACGTAAACGAAAATCGGACAGAGTTTCCTCTATACATCGGACAACTGAGGATTTTCCAATCCCACTCAGAAGAATTTCCTGATAAACAGTTTATACAGCACATCAATCCAGAAGTACCAGTCATGCAAATATAATCAGATACCCATCTATGGGCGCATGCATAACTTGGCTCAATGCCGCTAATCTAACAGCATGCAATCCAATACATAAACATAACTGAATACTACATCATCGTATAACGTTCCTGAATACTCAAATGTACATGCATCAAACTGACAGAAATGTACAAAACATATACAGGCCACATACAAAATGTAGGTTCTAACATCATGATCCACAAAATACGGAAATACTAAATGAAGGTACTATACTCCAAAATAAAAGTAGTCTACAGCTACTCAAAATCCAATCTGTCCACTGCCTCAGCCACGTGTTGCGTCCCTGCCTAGTGAGGACTCACCGGGAATCTGGGCACCTGAAAATATGTCCCCAACGAGGGGTGAGATTACAAATCTCAATAAGCTCCAGGTTTATAGAGAATTCTCCATACCCCTGGCTTACTCCTGCATGAAAGTCAGATACAGAGTATACAAATACAACATATAACAGATATCATAACAGAACAGAGCATATATCCATATCATATCAGAGATGTGCGCCGTCATTCTCAAGGGAGGACCCCAAGCGAAAATCAACGCACGTGTTCCCGAGGGAGGACCCCAAAGCGAAACCAGACATAATAGAGGCGTACACCATCAGTCCCGAGGGAGGACCCCAAAGCGGACATCCGGGTACTATACAATCAATGGCCAGAGATTGTTACAGAAATCATATTACAGAAGTCATATCAGAGCAAAACATATCATGTTATCAAATAACTCTATATGAATGCATCTATACAAAGCATCTAAATAACAGTCATACAGTCCAACCATAGTTCACTAACCATGGTGGAGCACTCAAGCAGGAAAAGACTCCTTAAACATAGAGCTTACCTCTTGAAGCTTTACTAATACGCTTACTTGTTGCACAAGTTACTTATATGTCTTCAAGAGATTCCGATCCTTTTTAGTCCCTAGGTACACCTAGAGCAAGAATCCACAATACCAAATCAATAAAATGCTATCATGCCATGATCCTTTCACAAAGCATACATTTTATCGCTTATTTTCATTTCTTTACATTTTTGCCAATACTATGCCAATACACAAGTCTCGACCTCTTTTTAACCGTTGGTGTTCTTTAATTTAATCATCCATTCCCTTACGAATTTCCAACATAAATCATAGCATTTTACTTTAAAGGACCGTGGGCCTAAAATTAGGAAATCAATATATTTTTCCATGATTTCTTTTCAAACCATTTCACTTCATGACTTATCATTTTTATACTTTGAAACACACATATTTTATTAAAATAAAATATGACAACATCTTTCCCTAAACACCTTATATGTCGAATCTTTTAAGGGAATTTCCAAGGATCCTTCTCTTTTACAATACATTTTCCTCACTTAATTTAACAACTACACGTACGTAAATATATATATATATATATATATATATATATATATATATATATATATATATATTTACCAAGTTCCAATTTAATTTTTGGGAATCTCAAGCTCTTTAAATCCTTCAAGGCCGAAACATCAAGGGTATGTTTCAAAGGATTTTCTTTCAAATTTAACATTCTTACTAACTCATCAAATTTCCTCTTATTCAAGCACATTAAACCTTCCCAATACATACAATAAATCTTTGTGCATCACCCCTAATTACCTTATCAAGGCCGAAATCTAGGGTATGTCACCATGGGATTTTTTTTCCAATTTTTATACATGTTCATATGCCTATTCCACATTCCTATATCCAACACATCATCAATCCATCATCAATTCAAATTTTAAACTAATTTATTTCACACCAACACATGCTCACAATTTCTATGACACAAACCATCAAAATAACATCATGGAAACAAAGGTTTCTTACCACTAATCAACTTCCCAAAGCCTAGAAAGCAATCTCCAAGCCAAGCTCCATCAAAAACTCACTTTTTCTCCTCCAATGAATAGTAACTCGAAAATGAGAGGAGGAATAACTCTTCACACACTCAACTATAGCTCAAATGGATAGGTGGAATGGATTCATTGAGTGGTTTCCACTCAATTTCATGTGGTGGGTCATTGGATTTGGTGGATGGATGATGTAGAAATCAAAGGAAGAAAAACCAAACCCTAAGCCCCCCCTTGTCAAGTGCAGCTCGGCCATCCAAGAGAGGGAAGAAGAAATTCTGAAATGAATAGTGAATCATTTAAGTGACAAGGCTATATTCATGTGGCCCTTTTTATCGGATGTTTTTCTATCGCGTATTTTAACTTAAACTGACTCGGAACTCACTTAAGGCTACAAACATATTTTTATTTTTCTAAAATCATAATCATTTACATTAATTTTTATTTCCTAAGGAACAATATTCTCAATTTACAGTATGGTTTCTGCACCGTTTTTGACGAAATGCACTGTGAACCACTAACTGTACTTCGTTTACTTCTGAACTTAAAACTTATTAACTTATCATTTCCTTGGGCCCATATTGACTTGTTGGCATATATTGGACTTTCTTATTCTTATTTCATCAATTATTTTCTTCTGGACTCTACCGGTTGCTTAAACAGCCCTACAAAATACCCGGTAAGAACACTATTCACGAGATTTTCACGGAAAGTGCCAGACTATACAATTTTTCGTTCTGAACTCATATTTGTCGTCAAAATTATCAAATTATGTCTCTAAAATTATTTTGCTCTTTTTAAGCTCTACCGGTTAATTCACAAAACTGTAAATTCTCCGGCAGAACGCACTGTTCATAACATAGTCATGATTACAGTCAAAATACTCGGAATCACTCACTGAATTTAATTATGGCATTTAAATCCTTAAATTAAATCTCTAATTAAGATTTACCATTTAGGGTCATTATACCCTACAACAGAAAATGACAAGTAAAATAATAATAAAAAATTAAAAGAGACAAATTTTATTTTGTCGGTAGTCTTGCATGATAGGAATGTTGTTCCTGTAACATAATTGTCATTAATCCCATATATATATGGGAGAGGTTATATTTACAACCCAAATAGTTTACAAACTCTTACAACCATATCTTAACCGTTAATTTTCGCCAATTAATCGTTGTCATTTATTGTGAATTAATAATTAATTAATAAATTTGATTTGCGAAAATCTTAACCGTTGATTGACGGAAATCAACGATTAAGATATGGTTATAAGAAGTTGTAAACGAAAATAAATTGTAAATATAACCTTTCCCTATATATATATATAATAATAATAATAATAATAAAATTAGAATTTCATTTTAGCATTAAAAGATAATAGTCTAAAGGGAATGGTCTTATGAAGTATTGGGAGTCTTCTTGTTTGAAAGAGGAAATTAAGGGGGAGTAGTTTCTTGTACAAACGAGGGAAAAAATTTCTTCATAATGACGTAAGTGCAAACGTAATCTAAAGAAGGTTGATTATTATCGTCATGAATCGATTGATCATGTATCAATGAATCAGTGACATTTTTTCAAAGTGATGTTAGACTTGAGAACCTTAAAGGTTTATATCTACCAAATGCACTTGTACCTCGGAGAATCTTGAGTTCTGTCTAGTTCATAACTTTGGTGATCCTCTGCAGTAATGGGTGATGAGGTTGTTTTGTTGGATACATGGGCCAGCAT